AGCATTCCCAAATGATGGTGTGTGAGCCCTTTTAAAAATGTTTTCTCTTCAGAGGGTTATATTTTTTCTTCTTTTTCATTCCACCACATATTACTTGGATGCCCCACTTTGTTCATGCTCTAAATTCTTCTTTAAAACACTGAGAAGCTTGAACCAGAAGTTGCTGGCATGTAATATTGCCAACCAGCATCCTCTACAAGCTAAGATTTACAGATGGAAATCAAGATTTTCGTAAATTTACAGATTTTAATAACGAGAGGAGTTATGGTTGAGCATCTATTTCACTTGTAATAGAAGTTCTGGAATCCTAGATAAAAAGAGGTCCTTGATTGATATTTGGGGGTTTGTTATGTGTTTTTTGGGGGAAAGGGCAAATAAATTCAGCACCCAAGACTACTAGAAGATCTCTGACCAGTGCAACACATAGGGCCTGATTCTCCTCTCATTTACATGTTCACCAAAAGATGGCACTTAAAGCAATGAGGTCACCTCCCGCTCCTTCCTTAGAGGCAAGAGTGCCACTTATTGCAAAACTTTATTTTGAACTTGGTGATCTCCCATCCAATTATATTTACCAAGACCTAGCTGTTTTTTAGCTTGTGAAAGTTAAATCTCTCATAGCCTTATGTGGTACAGCTGCAGGCATTAAAGAATAAGAAAACATTGACATTCCTCCTTCATTACAGACTTTAGTTTGGTTTTTAAAGGACCCGATGCGGGGGGTGGGGGGAATGGTTTCCTCTTTGGATAATGCAATGTATAAGCAAAGATTGAAATGCTGGCTGTATTGAAGTAAAGGGCAATTTTTCCCACTGAATTCAATGGGGGCCAGAATTTCATTCTAAACCTTAAAGATGTTTGAACTTGATGCAGTGATACAGGGGAAGCCTGTGGAGAGATTCAGACCCGGCTTCAGCAAAGCAGGCATTTAATGAAGCCATTGACCTCAGTGGATTTCATCAGCAATAGACTTTAGCACATGCTAAAGTTAAGCCCATGTTTAAGTGCTCTGCTGATTCAAGGGCTTAAAGATGAGAGTAATGTTGTCAGAATGTTGGGCAAGGAAGATAACCCTAGCAGCTGCATTTTGAATGGATAGGCGAGTGTTATGTGTGCATGGTAGGGGGAATTATTTGTGCTCAGGAGGAAGACAAAGTAGCTGCAAGAAGTGTGTGCTGAAGAGAAAGGTTACTTGTTTATTTAGATGCAGACCAGACTTGTCACCAACAGCTGCTCTGAGATGAGAAGATCATCTCATAGAACAATCTGAGAGCCACTGAGCAGGGTAATAAAAATAATAGGGAAGGGCTCCCTGGGCCAGATTCATCACTGATTTACACTTTGTGCAGTCCCATATAAAGCAGTAGTGAATTTGTCACTTAATGTTCCAGGTACTCAGTTCAGCAAAAGGGAGCCTTGGGGTTAGAGGGGCAAGAATTTACTGAACAAGAAAATTAAAATAGCTGACTGTAGTGGAATTTTGCATATACTGTTGGAATATACGGTTCCTCTGGGCAGCCATGAACCTTCCCCTCTGTGGGTGTTAAAACTCAGTAAAACCTTTCCTTTGTGTACCCTAACCCTAGACAAATCTATTGTATATCTGTTTATCTGCTGAAACAACGACCAGCAAAAGAATTCCTTTAAAACTAATAACTAACCCTAATTAGAAATGTGAGATTTTCGTATCCATTGTGGAGATTCTAGCACCAAGTAACGTGATCTGTGAAGTACATGCAACAAACAATACTAATCAGAACCATGATTGTCAACAAAACTGGCTGAAGCACCATCTTCCTCCTCCCCCCCCCGCCATACACTCTTTCATTCCATTAGTCTTTCAAGTAGATGCTTTCATTTTTCAAAATTTTCTATTATACGTTTATCAAAATTTTACTCATATTCATTTTTCATGTTTGTTTCCAAAATAAGTCATATTTTGAAAATGGAATATTTCAGTTTTGACAAAAAAAAAATTCCTACCCTGTGACAACGCTGGCCAGTGGCAGTGCAAACTCCTTATGCCTCCTCCAAACCCCGCAAGATGATGACCGACCAACCACAGGAAAGGATTAACGGTACAATGATGGACAATCAGACAAATGCGAATAGAGAAGTTCAATAACTGAGAATGAAGGCGAAAAGAGAGGTACTATAATGGAATATTTGAAAAAGGAAAACAAAAGGAGAAGAGTATGATGACTGCACAAGAAAAGGAGGAGTGAGGTTGTTGAACATGCACGAAAAAAAAAGGTGAAAAGAAGAAAGACTATATATACAAAGAGAGAGATCATCTCAATAGTGATCAATAGCAGAACATAAGGAAAAACACCAAAAATGAAAAATCAATAGGCTAATGCTTTTTGTTACTGTTGAAAAAGTTTGAAAACACCTTTTGTATTTTAGGATCAGTTTAGTTTCTGAAAAGTCTGTTTTTGACCAAAAGTTTTAGTTTGAAACATTTTCACCAGCTCAATTTGTCACTTTTCAAGATTTGCTGTAACTAGCAAAGTTTGACAGCGAAGACAGTGCTTTCCTTGGCTAAAACAAATCCTTGCTGCAGTTTCTAAACCATCATGAAAGTTTTTCTTCTGTAACTTGAATTTGGTGGCAGGCCAACATTGAAGCATTCCGTTTGTTGTCATTTTTCCAAATTCCCGTGCATTTGTTTTTAAGCTGAGAAAGAACAATCAAGGATTGATTAATGCCATTTATATTGCAAAAACTCTGGTCTGGAAATTGGGCTGGAAATATATGCTCGACAGCAGTCTTTCTTGAGAGAGGTTCAGTAGTTCCATGGGTTTGGCTAAGTAAGAAACATTTCAAGAATAACTTTTCTTGTGGTAGTTGGGTATCTCTGCTTCCAGTCTAAGGTGAAACCAATAAGAGAAAAGGTTCTGCAATAATTTATAACATACCAATTAAGGTAACCAAATTTTCTCAATCCTCCATATAGTTCAGTTCTGACAGAGGTTTAGTTTGACAGGTGGGTGAAAGTTTGATATGTTTTATTTTATCTGAACCACATGGCTTGCTTCCCCTCTATGATCTTTTTTAATTTTTGTGTTTTGGGTTTCGTTGTTGTTGTTTGTTTTTGCTTTGAGAGCACCTCTCCCTTCCTATTTAAATAGAACCATGTAAAACATTCACAGCCAAACCAGAAATCGTACACAACCTGCCTGTTCAAGTACAAAATCAAAACGCAACCAGACTCTTTGAAATGTTAACACACACACTATGAGCTAAGGGCCAACTTTGGTTTTATGTCAACCCTCGTGGCTTCATGTGGAATCAAGTCACGTGGTGGCGGCAACTGAATTTTACGTTGCTTGTCAAACCCCAAACTCAAGCTAAAATTCAGGCGGAGCAAGAAGTCGTCTCACAAACTGGAACTGATGAAAATATTTACAGAGCTCTCCCTCTTATCTGAAATCTGACTTTTGCAGGACTCTATTTGTGAACAGCCAAGGGTAAGATGATTAAAATCTACCACTTGCCTTCCCATACCTCTAAAAAAAAAAAAAAAAAACAGCAGCACTCTCTTGTCTTTTGTTTCATGAGTTTTGTCTCTTGAGTTTAACATATATTTTTGTACCAGTCAGTCATCACTCTATATCACTTTCCTTATTTCTTGCTCTTTTCAACTGGAAAGGGCAGGGACTGTGTCTTTTTCTCATATGTCTGTGAGGAATACTTTGGGTGCTAAATAAATAAATAATGAGGAAAATGTAAGGAAAAAAATTACAAAATGGTAGCCAACTTCATAGTGTGCAGATTTCGTCAAAGTTTGGTTTGTTCCAAGCTGTTCATCTCAATTTTGCTAAAATATGTTGTGAACTCATTCCCTTCCTGGGATTTGGCTTAATTATTAATTTAACACCACATATACAACAACTCCAGCCCAAAGGTAGTCCCAAGGCTTGGCCCTTCCTAAGGTTCCTCCCAGAGGACTGCTCAACCCTGGACCCTATATTCCTTCACTCAAACGGCCAATCTCTCATCTCCTTTGCATCCAAGTGTGATTAACAAACTGCATCTACCACAAATGAAACAACAGAGTAGTCTCTCCTGGCAATATTCCAGCATCAGCTAATAGGCTATGGCAGTGCATACAAATCTCCTTGGTATAAAATATTTAACATATAACTCCAAAATTATTAGCTTCAAAATCCAGTTTGATTCATACACCACAGTGTTTGGGGTATCATTTGGATGAAAATGAATTTTTACTTCCAACTGGGTTTCCAGAAGGAAGGCCTAATCTTTAACACCAAGATCATCTGGCACCTTTAATCTTCTTTAGGAACACATTGTCAAAGCTTCAGTAGGGATTAGCTGCACAGCCCATGTTAGAGTCAATAGGAGTCATGTAGTTAGATCACTGTGTCCCTGTGAAAATTTACCTCTTAGCTTTTTAAACTATGCTGCCTCATTACGCAGAAGTGAAGAGGATTCCTCTGATAGTTTATATAGATAGCAGACTGCGGGGTGTTTTGGGTTTTTGTGTGTGTGTGTCTCTTTTGTTTTTTCTATATCTCCTTTTGATTAGCTGACTATTTCTTGTTAAGCAATAATGGGAAAACATTCCTTCAGGGTTTCTTTCAGCTACAGTCATCTTTTCTGTGAAAGTACAAGAGGGAGAATGCAAAGAAGATCTGTCCTGTGAAACTGTTATCTCTTTGATTAATGTTAGAAATTCTGCTGGTTGTTTTATCAAATTAATGTAACTTTCAAGGGGCAGAAAAGAGCAATGCTGATTTGGAATAATAGACTTTAATTAGGGAGAGTGTTGCAGTCACAGGGCTCTGTCCTGTGTGTGTTTTCAGATCTCCCATCATCCCAATATCTGAAAACTAATTACCACCCTTAAACAGTAAATTTGTATTTTAGAGATATTGACAGGAGAAATATACCACGAAAGACTCTCCGTTTAAATTGCATCTTTATACCCCCTCCTATATGCTTTCTACCAACACCAATATTCTTTCTTTCTTTCCTAGAGATGAGCAAAAGCTGCTAAATTTGGATTTGGATCTGTGTTTCGAACACCGCAGTGTTGCTGGGTTCCTGGCTCCAGAGCTTTGTCTTTAGGTCCATCCCTAGCTGTTTAATTTCTGTTAGATTCCAATATAAGTTCCCTTTAACCAGGTGCTAGCAACTGCTAAGTATTACTGTTACTTGTGTCTTGGTAGAACAGTCACTATATAAATGTCGGGCTGCCGTGTGGTGTAAATCCGTCTCATTTGGAGGGATGCAGGGTCAAGAGGAGAAGGGTGGGAATCACCAGAGGAACATGAATGATTACATGCCAGTGAGGGCACTCTGGCATCTTTTCCAGGTGCACCATGTACCCCTTCATGTGCCTGATCAGCTCTGCTTTGTTAGCCCCAGCCTCTCCGTGCTCTGCTCTCTTTGGTGTATTCAGATACACCAGCAATGCTAGATTTGCACTGCCTATTGGATGGTGCCTGCGTCCAGTACAGAGCTGTAAGAAGAAAGAAGACTCCTTCTGTATTTCCCTACCTGTGCACTTTTGCACATGCAGTGCCAGCCACAATCTGTCCACAATGTAGAGTAAGGTAGTTACAGGCTTAATTTTTTACCTCTGTCTATGTCATGAGAGATCCTACAGTTTTACTTTTGTATAGATGTTTAGTACTCTTATTTGTTAGGTCTGCCTGAATGCATGTTTAGTTAGTTAAAAAAAAATAATCTTGGATCAGATTGGTTGGAGTGGAGAGTTTTGTTATTGTTGTGGGTTGTGGAAAACATCATTTGACGCTGGTGGATATAACTATCACCCTTCACCTATAATAACTGTAAGAAACAGTTACAGTTGTTTATAGCAGCTCCTCTTTCTGCCCCTCCCCCCCCACAAAGACATACGCAAGTCCACTCAGAATTAGAACTACATGGATCGAGGACTTTGGTTTGGGAAAAGGTTTGTGGGTGGGGAAGGAAAGAGACAGGAACAAACTGGGAAGGAAGCTACAGACACAGTCTGGGCAAGCACAGTGTTATGCTGGCTAAAAGTAGTTTCGGACTGTAAGCAAAGAAACTTTTTCCTATTGTTTGGCTCCTCCTGTGTTTTGGGAAACAGGACTTTGTACATTGCTTGTAAATAAACAAGACTGCATCCAGGATACCTGACTCCATCATCAATTTATTTTCCCAGCTGGAACAACCTGCAAGACCCTCCCCCCCATCAATTTTTGGCTAGCTATTTGGGCCAAAAGGGGTAACATTATTCAACTCAGTCACCATTCCCAGTCCAAGAGTACTTATGTGTGTGTGTGTTTCTGCTAAAATGATCAAAGATGAAATAATTTAAATGCCAATATTGTCAACTATGATTAAGTTTCAGAATCCACACTAGGATTGCCTCGTGTCCAGTTTTCAACTGGAATGCCTGGCCGAAAAGGGACCCTGGCGGCTCCGGTCAGCAGCCTTTAAAAGTCCGGTAGGTGACGCAGGCAGTCTCCCTACATGGCTCTACGCGACTCCCGGGAAGCTGCTAGTATTTCCCACTAGCTGCTAGGTGGAGGAACGGCCATGGGGGCTCTGTGTGCTGCCCCAGCACCAGCTCAGCTGCTCCCATTGGCCATGAACCATGTCCAGTGGAAGCTGAGGGAGTGGTGCCTGCAGACGCAGGCAGCATGGAGAACCACATGGTCAAGCCTCTGCTTTAGGAGATGGAAGGAGATGCTGACAGCTTCCTGGGAGCCATGTAAGGTAAGTGCTGCCCGGAGGGCCCCCCCGCCCCAGCCCGGATCCCTCTCCTGCACCCTGAACCCCTAATTTCTGGCCCCACCCCAGAGCCTACTCCCCCAAGCCCAGAGCCCATACCCCCTCCCACACCCCATCCCCCTATCTCATCCTGGAGCCCTCCCTGCACCCCAAACCCCTCATCTCCTGTCCCACCCCAGAGCCCGTACCTGTAGTCAGAGCCCTCACCCCCAGCACCCCAATCTCCTCCCCCATCCAAGATCCCCCTGTCCTTCCCACACCCTGAACCTCTCATTTCTGGCCCCACCCTGGAGCCAGAATCCAGAGCCCATACCCACTCCCACACCCCTACCCCGTGCCCCAGCCTGGAGCCCTCTCCTGCACCCGAAACCCCTCATCTCCAGCCCCACCCAAGAGCCTGGACTCCCAGCTGGAGCCCTCACCAGTGAGTGAACAAGGGTGGGGAGAGCGAGCAACAGCGGGAGGGGGCTGGAGTGGGTGGGGGCATGGCCTCGTAAAAGGGGAAGGGTGGGGGTGGGGCAAGGGTCGGTTTTCTGCAAATAGAAAGTTGGCAACCCTAATCCACATCCAATCAAGATAAACTGGGCAGCTCACACTTCTCTCAGCTAATGAGTCAGTTCTCTTGCCACAGCCTCAGGAGGACAGCACTACATTGGGTTATGTTTGGAAAGTTTTATTTTCAGCTTTAAGGGACGGAAACTTAACTTTGTCAGATGAAATCTTAATTTTTTTCCAGGATAGATGCTGGAGAGGCATCAGATAGGTATTACTAAAACATTCCCTGAATATGGGCTTAATCTGACCCTTGTCTACAATATCATAATAATCAAAGTAGCTCGAGTATAGGCAGGCATACACCATATATGCCATGGCAAAGAATTCTTAAATTCCTGCAGGTAATTTTTCTTAATGTGAGAGCAGTAAGGGTTTTTTTTGGTCTTCCTTTTATTAATACAGGCTAAAGTGACAATTTTTACTTGCCCAACATGGGACACCCTAATGAGGTCTGAATTTCAGAAAATGCTGAGCACCTCCCTGTGAAAGTCAGATCCCTTTTCGGTGTCTCATGTTGGGCACCACAAAAATTAAGGAACAAAAATAGTAGAAAATGTTGGCCACATAATTTAACTTCACTTTTTGTGCTAATGAACACATGGTCTGAAGGACCAGTTACTTATGTAGATTGGGACAATATTGTGGTTCAATTCATTCCTAACACGGGAGGGGAGTTTGAGGGGAGTAAAACTGGATTTGATCAAGTTTTGTGTTAAAATTACTGTTCCTGTTTGTTGTTCTTTGGGGATGGATGATTTAAAAAAACAATGATGTAAGGAACACAATTAGAGTTATCATGACTTTTTTTTTACACAGGATAAAGGGGTCACTGAAATATATGTATTATAGTTTGAATTCCTGAATACAGCTTTGAAGCATTGTAGTTGCAAACTTTATTTATGGTGGAACTTTTTCATCTGGAAACTTGCTTACTATAGAGTCTTGTCAAAAGTGTCTGTTTTTTTCATACAAAAATGTATTGGAGTTTGGCGCTTACCCCACTGAACATCAGGAGGAATGTATACTTCTGGCCACAAAGGAAGCACTCTATTTAGAAATCTGAATTCTGTTATGCATTTGAAAGCAATATGTCATACAAAATAAGTAGGCGCTTTCTGAAGCAGCACAGAGGACGGAGGGTGCTTGTTGTCAGGTGGGACTTCCACACTTTGTAAACTTCTGATTGTAAGCCCTAGGCTGTTACAGAGATAATCGGCCTCAGGAAGGAAGGTGACAGCTGCAATGCTCACATGCTACGCTACTGTATATGCCTTGCTGAGCAATCTTCTAAGCATCACCCATGGCAGTTTGGAAACATCATCTCCAGAGCATTCCAAGAGGAAGAACCTGAAAATGTAACTGGAAAGGAATAGCTGGGAAAAGGCAGTGACTAGTTTTGCTGTTTTAGGCAGGCAAAGGACGAGGGCTTTATTTCAAAGTGTTATATGTACGCTAAGTAACAGAAATCTATATTAAAATGTATAAAACCAGTTATTAGAAATCCTTACGACTGTTTCTTATTCAATTGTTTTCAAATCCAATACCCATTTTTTTCATATCCAGTGCCCATTGAAATCAACAGAAGGACTTCACTAGGTATTGATCAGGCCCATAAATAAATAATGATCATCCTTACTTTAAAATACATTTTGTTTGTGCCTTGTATAGTCATCAAATTTTCATGAAGTTCCATATGCAAACAATACGTCTTTCAGCAGGAGTTATTTGCCTGTATCTAGAGACAGAGTTTGCCCCTAATTTGCAGATTTATGAGTCCAGAATACTTCTAATTCTACAATCTACTTATGATATGTTATGTATGATATTCCAGGGTGCAATCCAGGGGCTGTGTCACCACTTGCCTGTAACTTTGGTACCTTACGACACTATGCTGTGGTAAATCCCAACCTGGGCTGCTCACAAACAGCCAAACAGCACGCAGGTCACACCCGCTGTGTCTGTATAGCTGCATCCTGCCAGTACACTCCACTTCCACTCTGGCTTTCACTGGCCTTGGTTATCACTTGCAGGATGACTCCAACACACTTCCAGTCCCAAACTTTCCCCAAAAATGTAAGTTCCGTCCTGTCCAGCCCTCTCCTGGACAGTCCAGATATTGGTGTTCCATTGCCCCTGTAAGGAATCAATGGACAACAGTTTGCTAGTTCAAATGGAGTTACCCACACAGTTCAGCTTAAAGACAACACTGGATTAATTTTGATTAAAGAATAAAACAAGTTTATTTAACCACAAAGAAAGAGATTTTAAGTGAGTACAAGTATAAGGCTTTAAATGCAGAAATGGTTACAAGGGAAATAAAGATGAAACATGTTTAAAGTAACTAAAGCGTAACAAACTAGACTTAGTTCAAGGTGAAATCCTTACCACATGGTCCCAGCAATAGGGCTGACCATATTCTTAAGTCAGGATCTACCCCCAAATTTCAAAGGGCTGGTTCCATTGTTTTCTCAGGTGAGAGAGAGAAAAAGAGAGAGAATTAATATCTGGGGTGGTTTTGCGGTGGCCTCTTATAGTCCAGTCACCTTTGAAATGCATTTTCCTGAGGATTACCCCTAGATAAACTTCCTTATCGCTGTGAAGACAGAGACATGGAGTCTCATGGTGAAAGAGGTTCCATGCTGCTGTTTGTTAAAATAAAAATCAATCTGTTCCTGCCCCTCTTAGCTGCCAAAGAATGGTCATTTGACCAATTATTGCCTATCAACTTTGATGACACCTGGCTGGAGGCATCAGCTTGTCCTTTGTCTTTGAGAAACTTGTTTACCCATTCCCAAGCTAGTCCGATAAAAACATTTTAGTCATAACTTCATCTTATGTTCATAACTTTACATATAATGTTGCTACATTCATTTCACCATGATATTATTGACCAGTGAGTTATGCATTTTCAAATGACACCTCACGGGCATATTCTGTACAAAGAGTATTACAATGATGTATAGGTTGCGAATACAGGAGTGCATTCTGTCACATGCTGAAATTTTGCTATTTCATCAGACTGGATCTCGTGTTAGGTATTAGATTAAAGAACACACACATCCAATTCAGATCACCTTTGTAATGCAGGGGAAAGAAGATGTTCAGAGATGCAATTTAATTTCTAATCATTCATTTTTAAAAATTGCTTATTTAAACAGTGCCTTTAACAGTGTGTGTTAGCCTGTTTTATTTTATTTTAAAATAATATTTACCTTTTAAATGTTAAAAATCTTTGATTTTTCCCATGATTTTCAATGGCAATTTGCATTTCCTGTGTCCTAAACCACAACATCAGACTTTCTATTCATCATTCTTGTTTAGAATATTTAAAGCATGTTTTGATTTATGTCAATAATTTACTCCTCCTGTAGTTCAATGTAGTTATTAGGATATCTTTTTTTATGCCCATACAGCTGGCACAAGTTTTTTCTTTAGGTATAACCCCATTGTTGGATTTTTCCTTTAACCTTTGTCAAGAAGTAATCAAAATTGTACAATTTTGGTGTCTTGATGATGATGATACTGATCTTGGCCATCATGTCCAGACAGAAGTATGCAGGCAATACATTAACCTTTTAAATGCTGACATTTTTGATAGGCTGACTATTTTCAATTCTTGGTCACAGGTTGCTTGGGGGATAGAGAAGTAGGAAAGGAAATTGGCCAGCCAAGCCAATGAGGAACATGGAAAAGGTCAGAGTGAATCGGGTACAGTACTGATTTTCACAGAATATATGAAGGATTTAAAAACCTTATTCTTGTGAAAAAGATTATAATAAGAACAGGAAATGGCACGAGATTTGAATCTTCAGATAAGGTTG